AACTCAGACAGCAAAAGCCCAATTTACTCAGCATTTCATAGGACAAATGTCTCGTCCTAGGAATCAATCTACTAAAAGTGGTTGCACTGTGTTCTTCTGCTGTTGTATGATGATGGGTATACTGCATGATCAGTACAACAGCTAAAAAATGGTAGTTTGCATTGCTTTTTAAAAGATTTGCTGGGTGCCATGATCTGTTGTTACCTCCATGCTTTGCTGCACCAATGGAAAACTGGTTTGCTATTTGAGGCTTTGTCTAAGTTAACCAATTGTCTGTTACACTCTGCATGTGGTTTAGATGAACTAATTTTAATGGAGTGGAGGTGCCGGCGTTGGATTGGGGTGGACAATGTCAGAAGTCACACGACATCAGGTTATAGTCCAACAGGTTTATTTGAAATCACAGCCTTTCAGTGTGTAGCCCCTTTGTGAGGTGAAGTCCACTTCACCTGACAAAGGGGCTACGCTGCAAAAACTTGTGATTTCAAATAAACCTGTTTGACTATAACCTGGTGTCATATGGCTTCTGATTTTAATGGAGATCAGTGAAAGTACAGATTTAGAGTGAGAGTGATCAAATCTGTAGATGTGATTTCAGATAGTTCACTGATGGAGACCATGAAAAACAGATATTTTCCAAATAACCAGATTGAGAAACATTAATCTATCAGTAGTTCTATTTATGAGATTCAGTATCATGTGGTACTTTGGATAGATACAATTTCACTTTAATTATTCCAGGTGTAGTAAGGTATTTCCTGTCAGGATGTTACTTGTTAGCCATGGTTCAATGGCTACAAGGCAAACCCCCACCTACAAGGCAAGCAATTGTGGATTCAAACGGAATTAAAATCTGGGTTGACACTCCATTGTAGTTCTGAGAGAGCACTGCACGTCCAGGGTTGTCACCTCTCAGATGAAATCTAAACTGAAGCCTTGCCCACTCTGTAAGGTCAATACAAATAATCCTAAGGTGCTATTTCAAAGAATAGGAGAGTTATTCCTGATGTCATGGACAACATCAATTCCCCAGTCAACATCACCTAAACAGGTTAACTGGTTGTTTTCACGTAGTTGTTTGTGGAAGCTTATGTACAAATTGGCACTCATGTTTCCTACATTATAACAATGACCACACTTCAGAGTACTTTACCAGCTGTAAATCACCTTAGGATGTCCTGAGGTTGCAAAAGGCCGAGTAGAAATGCAAGTTTTTTCTTCTTTTCTCTCTGCCCTCTAACCTCACCAGGTCGACAAGAAATAACTAGCTCTTTTCTATTTGAGACCTGCGGGTACCTTTGAATATCCAGCTCCAGCTGACCATTATTTGACACAAAACCTTAGAGGAGATAATTGAGGCAGGAAACAACAAATGCTGGAGATCACGGGGGTCAGATAGCATCCATGGAGAGAAAGCAAGCTAATGCTTTGAGTCTAGATGACTCTTCATCAGAGCTGAAGTATGGAGGACACAGCATTTATGCAATAGTTTAACGGTTGGGAGGTGTGGAATAGTGAGTGTAGGGGGAGAAAAGATGTTGATAGTTCAGATTAAGTGATCAGAATGTGAGAATGGCAGAACAATGGTGTGTCTCTTGCCAGATTTGAGAGGACAGACAGTCCCACTGGGGTGGGCGGGGTGGGGGCTGGGGAAAGACATGATAACAGAATGTAACAAGCTAAAGGAAAGGGAAGAAATGGGAGTTGGTTCACAAGTTGAAGGTGTCGAACTCCATATTAAGTGCAGAAAGCTGTAAAGTGCCTCGTCTGAAGATATGTTGTTCCTCCAGTTTGGGCTACACGATCAAGGCTCCACTCTGCAGCAACGTCGACTCACCATATTTCAAAGCTGCACCAGTCCCCAGTTTCACTTCATCCTTTGCCTCATTCGTCACCTCAACAAAACACCTTTTCTCTTTCTTACAGATATCATAACACACAACCTCCAGCAGGTTATGGACTCCAACATCCGTCCTACAGACTGTCCCTTAGCATCCATCCCTTTCCAGCCCTCAGATGCCATCATTTTCTGTCCATCTGAGGCCACTCCCCGCAACCCCAACCCCAACCCCAACCCCAGCCCTTTCTGTGCTTTCACCATACCTCCTGACCTTTCCCTCTGAGGCTGAACAGACTGTCCTCGGAAAAGGACTCAGCTTCATACCCTTACGCCCCTACCTTAATGAATTTCGGGCTTGCCATGATGTTGAACAGGTTTTCTGCTGCCTCTGTCCCCAAGCTCACTTCTTCAGGCAGGAAATCCTCCCACCCATTCCACTGATCCCTTCACCCACCTCCAGTATTCACCATCCACTTGGACCCCTTCCCCTAGCCTCTACCTGCCCTCGATCTCTTCATTGAAAACTGCCGTGACATCAGCCATCTCAATTTCTCTGCTCCTCTCACCCACTCTAACCTATCCCCTTCTGAAATTGCCACACTTTACTCTCTTAGGTCTAACTCTATCTTTGTTATCAAACCGGCCAACAAAGGTGGTGCTGTTGTAGACTGACACACTGATCTTTACCTTGGGGAGGCTTAACACCAGCTCTCAGACATTTCTTCCTACCGCCCACTGGTCCATGACCCCTCATCCGAACATCAAGCCATTGTTGTCAGGACTGTCACTGACTTCAATACCTCCAGAGATCTTCCCCCCACTGCTTCCAACCTGGTAGTCTCCAAACCCTGGACAGCCTGCTTCTACCACCTTCCCAAAATCCACAAACCACACTGCCCCGGTAGGCCCATTGTATCAACCTAGTCCTGCCCCACTGAGCTCCTTTCCTCCTACCTTGACTTCATCCTCTCTCCACTTGTCCAGACCTGCCCACCTATATCCGCGATTCCTCTGATGCCCTCCACTGTATTGATAATTTCCAGTTCCCTGCCTCCTGTTCACTATGGATGTCCAATCCCTCTATACTTCCATTCCCCATCAGGATGGTCTGAGAGCTCTCAGCTTCTTCCGCGATCAGAGGCCTGGACAATCCCCATCCATCACCATTCTCCTCCGCCAGGCTGAGCTTATTCTCTCACTAAACAATTTCTCCCTTAATTTATCTCACTTCTGCTAAGTCAAAGGGGTGGCTATGGGCATTCAAATGAGTCCCAGCTATGCCTGCCTCTTTATGGGTCATGCAGAATGATCCTTGTTCCAGTCTCACACTGGCCCCCTCCCACAACTCTTTTATCTGTACATCGATGACTGCTTCGGTGCCACTGCATGCTCCTGCCAGGACCTTGAAAAATTTGTTCATTTTGCCTTCAATTTCCACCCCTCTATAACTTTCACATCGTCCATTTTCGACACTTCCCTTCCTTTGCTTAACCTCACTGTCTCCATTTCAGTGAATAAACTGTCCACTGTCTTCCACTACAAAGCCACTGACTCCCATAGCTACCTCCACTACAGCGCGTCACACCCCACGTCCTCCACCCCATTCTCCCAGCTCCTTCACCTACATCACATCTGTTCGGATGATGCCACCTTCCAAAACAGCGCTGCTGACATGGCTTGTTTCTTCTATAACTGTGGTTTCCCGTCCACTGTGGTTGACAGGACCCTCAACTGCATCCAAACTATCACCCGTGCTTCTGCCCTTGCCCCTTTCCATCACTCATAACAGCATGATCAGGTAGCCCTTGTCCTCACTTTTCATCCTACCAGCCTCCGCATTCAGAGGATCATTCTCCGCCATTTCAGACAACTCTAGCAGAACGCCACCATCAAATACATCTTCTATCACTTCCTCTGTCTGCATTTTGCAGGGATCACTCCCTCCGGGACATCCTAGTCCACTCCACAACCATCAACACCAGTCCCCCATCCCAAGACACCTTCTTATGTAACCGCAAAAGGTGCAACACCTGCCCCTTAACCTCCTCCCTGCTCACCATTTCACCTGTACCTCCTCCAATCTTGTTTGCTGTATTTGCTGCACCCAATATGGCCTATTGGAGAAACCAAACGCAGACTGGGTGACTGCTTTGTGGAACACCTCTGATCTGTGCACAAGCATGAGTCCGATCTTCCCGCAGTCAGTCATCTTAACACAGCATCCTGCTCGCATGCCCACATGTCTGTCCTTGGCATGCTGCAATGTTCTAGTGAATCACAGCGCAAACTGGAGGAACAACATCTTATGTTCAGACTAAGTTCTTTATTGCCTTCTGCACTTAATATTGAGTTCAACACCTTCAAATTATGAGCTAACTCTTATTTCTTCCCTTTCCTTTAGCTTTTTACATTATGTTATATGTTTCTTTTATGTTTAATTATGTTTCTTTTTCCCAGGGTGGAACAGTCAGTTTAAGGTGCGAGGGGCAAGGTTTAAAGGTGATGTACGAGGCAAGTTTTTTACACAGAGGGTGGTGGGTGCCTGGAACTCGCTGCCGGGGGAGGTAGTGGAAGCAGATACTATAGTGACTTTTAAAGGGTGTCTTGACAAATATATGAATAGGATGGGAATAGAGGGATACAGTCACCAGAAGGGTAGGGGATTTTAGTTGTGACGGGCAGCATGTTGGAGCAGGCTTGGAGGGCCGAAGGGCCTGTTCCTGTACTGTAATTTTCTTTGTTCTTTGTTATCATGTTTCTCACCCCTCGCCCCCACACCACACCACCACACCCCGCCCCCCAACCCCTTCCAGTGGGACTGTCAGTCCTTTCCATTCTGGCAGTTGGACACACCATTGTTCTGCCATTCTCACATTCTGGTCACTTAATCTGAACTATCCACATCTTTTCTCCACCAGTACCCACCCCCCAAACTATAGCATAAATGCTGTCTCCTCCACACTTCACCAGCTCTGACGAAGAGTCATCTAGACTCGAAACGTTAGCTTGCTGACTCTCCATTGCATACTGTCTGATCCGCTGTGATCTCCAGCATTTATTTTCAGCACAGATTCCAGCATCTGCAGTAATTTGCTCCTACATAGTTGAAGTAGAGCTCATCCTGATACCTAATTGTTAATGGCCTCTATCTTTTCTTATTAATAGAGAACGGTAGCAGTGACCAACGGCAGGCCTGCATGAAGCATGAGCTGTATGTCAGCTTTCGTGACCTAGGATGGCAGGTAACTCCGAAATATAAACATTTTTGTGTTTCCGTCCAAAATCATTTCAGAAGAAAGTTTCCAATTTGTGTATTTTCTTTCTTTTCATTTATTATTGTTTCACAGTCATCTTTTAGCCAGAACAAGTCTTATAAAGAACAAACTCTTCCACAACCTGCATATTGGAGAGTTAAAGAGATAGTAGGAACTGAGGATGCTGGAGAATCTGAGATAACAAGGTGTAGAGCTGGATGAACACAGCAGGCCAAGCAGCATCAGAGGAGCAGGAAGGCTGACGTTTCGGGCCTAGGCCCTTCTTCCTATATAGACATTGTCACGGTTGGGGCCAAATTGGGAAGGCCTGAATGTGGACTGTAGTCCACTGGGGAAGAAGGGTCTAGGCCCAAAACGTCAGCCTTCCTGCTCCTCTGATGCTGCTTGGCCTGCTGTGTTCATCCAGCTCTACACATTGTTATCTCTTTATTAGAGAGTTAAAGCACCTTTCATTTGGGGCTAGCCAACTGCCCCCTTGAGAAATTTCCATCCACTTTCAGATATTCATTATAAATTATAAATTCTCACTGAGATTAGTTAACATTCCTTAATTAACATTCCTCTCATGCCTGGTTGTGATGGGCTTTATTGTGCAAACATGCAGATTAACTTCAATGTGAGACATTAACTAAGTTAGGATTTAAAATCCCATTCAGACTTTTGCAGCTACATTGTAATATTCAACATCAGTAGTCAGCTTAGCTTCATTGGTAACACTTTTAATGAGTCTGTAGGTTGAATTTCAAGTGCCACTTCAGGACTTCAGCAGGCTATGACACTCTAGTACAACTCTGAGAGAAATCTGAGGTGCTGTTCTCCTATTAGAAATTACATTTAAAAATAGATACAACGGCATTTGGGGTGAATTTACTCAATATTTTTCTAATAATTTCCCCTGGTAATGTGTTTGAATGAAAAAAATATACAAAAAATTTTTAAAATATGCAAAATAAATGTCCTGCAGAATCAATGCCTAAATATTTGAAACTAAATGTTGTAGAGACCTTAAGTGTTCCCAGTATATCAATAATAAAATGACGACATAGGACTGGTGGAATCCTCATTAATTTAACATGTTATATGTCAGCAATATAGGTGCAATGTCCTTAACCAGTATACAGAATCGATGACGGAGACTGGTAGGATTGTCCTTCATTATATATTGGGAGAGGGAAGGTCACTTCTTTCATAGCTAACACCACATACAGTTGTTCTTTCCTCTACTTTATAAAGCAAACTAATAGTTTATGCTTTATTTAAAATTCTGCAATCTTAGTTTGTTTATAACCACTTTCTAACTATAAAATATGCTGCTATGTAAAATTTGTGGGACCAGATTAGAAACTAGAGCCTAGATTTTCTGATCGGCATGTTATTTTATTACCGACTATAATCCATTTGAATAAATGATTAACTGCTGGCACAGAGAGGGAAGAAAATTTTAAATTTTCATTTCTGAGGCCTGATTTCAAATCTGGTTCGGGTTAATGAGATGAACATCTCTTCAATCTGCTACCAGTGAGCATCTCATGTGGTTCTGAGTCTCAGTTCGGTTCCTAATGGGCAAGGTGCATGGGCTAAAGTGATAACTGGCTGTGTTGCTGATAGAGAGCCCAGTATGACTGGCTGTTGTGCCAAACCAACAATTTTCACATTGCTGCAATAGAGTGATTGTCAGAATTAGGTTAAGGCATAAATTTGGAACTAAATAAGAGAAGTTCCACTTTGCATCTGACTGACAAGTCCTTGAGGTTGTCTATTACAGTTCCATTCCCCAGTAAACCTTCACAATATCAATTGAGATGCACCAAAAAATTGATCACTCAAGACACCTGAACAAGTTCTATACCATTAAAAATTGCTGTAGAAGCTGTCATAATTACAGTACAAAAGTTAGATCTGAATTCCGGTCTAACATAATTCCGCTTCTTTTTTGAGTGAATGTTATAAGTAGTCTCTTTTTCAGCCTCACCCTGAAACTGATATTTTAAAGTGAAGTGTACTTAGTATGCAGGATTTAGAAAACGCTGAGTAAAACCCAAAATTATTCAGTGATAGCAATACATAGAGGCTCTGTTCTGATAGTATGTCCTCTTCATCTCCTTCTTGAAGGACTGGATCATAGCTCCTGAGGGATATGCTGCATACTATTGTGAGGGAGAATGCTCATTCCCACTGAACTCATACATGAATGCTACGAATCATGCAATTGTTCAAACTCTGGTAAGTACTGGATGTAATCAACAAAGAAACAAATAATGGGTGCAGCTGCAGTAGCTTGGACAGTTAACTGGGACCAACAGTTACTCTGGTTTAAACCACTCCCTGAAACAGCTGAGGCAGAGTGTGGAAAAAAAAGGCCTCAGTGCAGCCAGCAGAGAGTAGAGTGTGGCAGTTGTGGGGGGAGAAAAGCAGGTTTTTCTTTGCTTCCGCTGTTTTGCTTTCTTAACTACTTTCACTGATCAGTGGCGGCAAGATTGGACCAAGGACCAAGAAATGGGAAATTATTATGAGATTAACCAAGAAGCATCAGGGATAAGTAAAGTCAGGGGGAATAAGAGAAGGAGACTAAAGTTAGGGTTTAAAAAAAGTATGCTTAAATAATTCAAAAAGTTAGCATGTAAAACTATCAGTTTAAGTTATGGCCGGTGAGGTCAACTGAGTGGAATGTGTGATCTGTCATATGTGTGAGGTCATGGACTCTACTAGCATCCTAGATGACTACGTGTGCATAAATTATTCCCAATTGTAGAAACTTATGCATTGTATTTCGGGACTCAAGCTGTGACTAGAGATACTATGACACATCTGCGACGCTGAAACTTACTGGATAGCATGTTTAGCGATGTGGTCACACAGGAGCTCAAGGGACTGGAGGAAAGCAGGGAATAGGAGTCAGAGAATCTGGTGGGTAGTGCAGAAGACCGTGGGGTCCTCCTCACAAATCAATTTTCCATTTTGGAAACTGATGAGGGCACTGGCTCCTCAAGGAACTGCAGACAGAGACAGGATGGTGTGTTATCCCCCGGTGCCAGGTTTAGGGATGTTACTGAGCAGCTACAGAACATCCTGAAGAAAGGGGGTGACAAGACATAGATCATGGTACATGCTGGTACTGACAACATAGGTAAAATGAGGGTTGAGGTCTTGCTTCAAAAATTTAGGGAGTAGACTAAAGAGCAGGACCTCAATGGGTGCAATCTACAGATAACACCCAATGCCACGTGCTATTGAGTACAGAAGTAGGAAAATAGGGCATCTGAATATGGCTGTTTGGTACAGAGGAAGGCTTTTAAATTCCTGGAAGACTGGGACCTTTCCTGGTGAAGGTGATACCTCTACAAATGGAACAGTGTGTGTCTGAGTCAGAATGAGACCAACATCCTTGTGGGTGGGTTTACTAGTGCTGCTGGGAAGAGGTTAGACTCTTTTGGCAGGGGCAGGGGATGCCGTGTTTGTCCAATAGGGACACAGCAAACTTTAGTAAATGGAACCAAGGAAGAGGGAGGTCAGCCATGTTGAATTTCAAGGGAGTAAGGCAAGTTGGATAACTTGAACTTTAATGCTAGGAGTAATATAGGGAAAACAGATGAGTTAAGGCGTGGATTGATGTATGGAATTGTGATGTAGCTGCCATTTCAGACATGTATTTGAGGCTACATTCTGGGTTACAGGATCTTCAGGCAGGGCACAGGAGGGTGGAAAAGAGGAGGTGGTGTCACATTATTAATTAAGGAGTCAGTTACTGCAGTGAGTAGGGATGATGTATCATCAGGGTCTTCAAAAGCTTAGGAGTTAAAAGGGAGCAGTCACACCACTGGGAGTGGGAGTCAGTGGGCAATAGAGGGCATCTTGGCATCCTCTAGTGGTCCTCTCAGCATCACAGATCCCAGTCTTCAGCCAATTCAATTCACTCCATATGATATCAAGAAACGGTTAAAGGCACTGGATACTACAAAGGCTACGGGCCCTGACAACATTCTCGCACTATTACTGATGACCTGTGCTCCAGAACTTGCCGTATCCTGGCCAAGCTCTTCCAGTACAGTTACAACACTGATATCTACCCAACAATGTGGAAAATTGGCCAAGTATATCCTGTACACAAAAAGCAGGACAAATCCAACTTGGCCGATTACCGCCCTATCAGACTACTCTCAAACATCAGTAAAGTGACAGACGTTTCATCAATAGTGCAATCAAGCAACACGTGCTCAGTGATGCCCAGTTTTGGGTTCCATCAGGGCCACTCAGCTCCTGACCTCATCACAGACTTGGTTCATACATCGACAAAAGAGCTGAATACAACAGGTGAAGTGGGAGTGACAGCCCTTGATATCATGGCTGCATTTGAACAAGTGTGGCATCAAGGAGCCCAAGCAAAACTGGAATCAATGGGTGTCGGGGGCAAACTCTCTGCTGGTTAGAATCATACCTGGCACATAGGAAAATGCTTGTAGTTGTTGGAGGTCAATCATCTCAGCTCCAGGGCATCTCTCTACCAGTTCCACAAGGTTGTGTCCTGGGCCCAACCATCCTCATCTACTTCATCAATAACCTTCCTGCCATCATACTGTCAGAAATGGGGATGGTCACTCATGAACTGTATGATGTTCAGCACTATTTGTGACTCCTCAGGTACTGAAGCATTCATGTTCAAATGCAATAAGATCTAGACAATATCCAGGCTCAGGCTGACAAGTAGCAAGTAACATACGCATCACACAAATTCTAGGCAATCACCATCTCCAATAGGAGACAACCTAACCACTGCCCCTTGACATTCAATGGCATTACCGTCACTGATCCACAATTATCAACATCCTGGGAATTAACATTTATCAGAGACTCAACTGGACTTCCATATAAACACATTGGCTACAAATACATGTCAGAGACTATGAATAATGCAGCGAGTAATTTACCTTCTGCTCCCCAAAGCCTGTCCACCATCTACATGGCATAAGTTAGGAGTGTGATTGAATATTTCCCACTTGCATGGATGCGTGCAGCTCCAAAATCACTCAAGAAGCTTGACCCTATCCAGGACAAAGTAGCCTGCTTGACTGCCACCACAACCACAAACATCTGCTCCGATCACCACCGATTCTCAGTAGCAACACTATGTACTACATAGAAGATGCACTGCAGGAATTCGTCAAAGATCTTTAGACAGCACCTTTCAAACCCACGACCACTTCCATACAGAAGGACAAGGTGAGCAGATACATGGAAATATGACCACCTGCAAGTTCCCCTCCAAGACACTCACCATCCTGACTTGGGAAAATATCACCATTCCTTCAATGTTGCTGGGTCAAAATGCTGGAATTCCCTCCCTAAGGGCTTGTGGGTCTACCTACAGCGCATGGATAGCAGTGGTTTAAGAAGGCAGCTCATCACCACCTTCTCAAGGGCACTAAAGACACGCAATAAATGTGGGCCAGACAGCAACACCCATGCCCCACAAGTGAATAAAAAATAAGCAAATAATTGGACAATTCACTGAGGTGTGTTACTGCAAAAATAAGGTATTTATATTAAGGGATTAACTTCTCCAACATTGAGATAGTCATAGTGTAGAGAATTTAGAGGGGACAGATGTCTTGAATTGTATTCAGGAGAATTTTTTATGTCAGCATGTAGAATGGCCAACAAGGGATGCTACAGTGCTGGACCAAATTCTGGGGAATGAAGCTGGACAGGTGTTGAGGTGGCAGGTTAGTGGGAGAGCATTTTAATGATAGTGACCATAACACTGTATGATTTAAGTTTGATACAGAAGAGGAAAAAGATGGTCTGCAAAAAAGGGGTTTTGGATTGGGGGATGGCCAATTTGGGCAGCATGGTGGCTCAATGGTTAGCACTGCTACCTCACAGGACCAGGGACCTGGGTTCAATTCCAGCCTTAGGCCACTGTCTGTGTGGATTTTGCCCATTCTCCCTGTGTCTGTGTACGTTTCCTCTGAGTGCTCTGGTTTACTCCCACAGTCCAAAGATGTGCAGTTTAGGTGGATTGGTCATGCTATATTGTCCGTAATGTCCAGGGATGTGTAGGCTAGGTGGATTAGCCATGGGAGGTGCAGGGTTGCAGGGACGGGATGGGTCTGGATGGGACGCTCTTCAGAGGGTCGGTGTGGACTTGTTGGGCCGAATGGCTTGTTTCCATATTGTAGGGATTCTATGGATTATTGAAATAAAGTAGGATCTGACCAAAGTACTCTGGGAACAGGTTCTCTCGATAAATATACATTAGAACAATGGGGATGGAAGAGGGCGGGGAAAATTCAAAATCAAACTGGCATGAATACAGGGCCAACATGTTCCATTTAAGGTGAAATGTAGGAGGTACAAGCCCCCAGTATTCAGGACTAGATGAGGAAAAAGAGGTTTTAACGAGTACAAAGACAGCAAATCAACAGAGGCCCTAGTGGAGTATTGAAAGTGCAGGGACAAACCTAAGAAAGTAATTATAGGGGAGATGTCAGAGGTAGGTTCTTTACACAGAGAGTGGTGGGTGCATGGAATGCGCTGCCGGCGGTGGCAGTGGAGGCAGATACATTAGGGACATTTGGATAGGCACGTGGATGATAGTAAAATGTAGGGTATGCAGGGTAGTTTGATCTTGGAGTAGGATAATAGGTCAGCACAACATCGTGGGCCAAAGGACCTGTACTGTGCTGTACTGTTTTATGTTCTATGTTCTAATTAGGATAGCAAAGAGAGGGCATGTAAAAAACTCTAGCAGGTAAGATCAGGGAGAATCCGAAGATGGTCTACAAGTATATCAAGGGGAAGAAGATACCCATGGAAACATTAGGGACCAAGGAGGCAATCTGTATGCAGAGCTGGAGGACATTTGTAGAGTATTAAATGAGTACTTAATTTCTGTCATCACTTTGGAGAAACAGGATGTAGGTACAGAATTTGCAAAGAGGAGTGGGAGGTTATGGAGCAGTTTGACGTAGGAAGTGAGGAGGTTTTGGCAGACTTAAAAGTGGACAAATTCTCGGGTCTAGACGAGTTGTATCCAAGGGTGCTATGGAAGACAAGAGAGGAAATTACAGAAGCTCTGACCTAAATTTTTACTTCCTCTCTAGCCACCAGATGTGGTGCCAGAAGATTGGAGGACAGCTAATGTGGTTCCACTTTTCAAGAATGGTGGTGGTGATAAACCAGGGACTTGCAGAGTCTCACACATCAGTTTTAGGGAAACTATCGGA